ATGCAACAATTCAGAGTAAGAAAAAAATCTATTGACAGTGAGCTGATTTCAAATGGGGCAAGAATTGAGCTGAGCAGAATTGTCTGGAAGAGGTTGGCAGGACCAGTAACTGAACATGCTACCTTCAAAGAACAGATGGCTAGTACAGTCAAAGTATATTCCCTGAAATAGGATACACAGATCCAGAGTTCCCTGGATGACAACAGATGTAGAAATTAACATTAGAAAAAAAAAGTGTAAGGCAGAAAACCTAATACAAATAAGAGGAGTACCAAAGGATTAGAGGGAAGGTGATAAATGCAAATAAGAGGAGCAAAGACAAACTATGAGAAAAAACTGGCAGCTAATATAAAGGGGAATCCCAAAGTCATGAATATGATTTGGTAGCCACTACGGAGACATGGTTACAGGATGGGCACGACTGGGAGTTAAATATCCAAGGGTACTAGACTATTCGGAAGGCAGACAGGAAGGTAAGGGAGGTGGTGTAGCTCTGATATTCAAAGATGCCATCAGGGCGGTGCTGAGAGATGATATAGGTTCTATGGAGAATGAGGTTGAATCCATTTGGGTGGAAATTAGAAATTCTAAGAGGAAAAAGTCACTGAAAGGCGTAGTCTATAGGCCACCAAATAATAACATCACATTGGGGCGGGCAATAAACAAAGAAATAACTAATGCCTGTAAAAATGGTACGGCAATTATCATGGGGGATTTTAACCTACACGTAGATTGGTCAAACCAGCTCGGTCAGGGTAGCCTTGAGGAGGAGTTCGTTGAGTGTATCTGTGATAGTTTTCTTGAACAGTATGTAATGGAACCAATGCGGGAGCAAGCTATCCTAGATCTGGTCCTGTGTAATGAGACAGGTATAATTAATGACCTCATAGTTAGGGATCCTCTTGGAAGGAGTGATCACAGTATGGTTGAATTTAGAATACAGATGGAGAGTGTGAAGATAATATCCAATACCAGGGTACTGTGCTTGAACAAGGGGAACTACAATAGAATGAGGGAGAACTTGGCTAAAGTAAACTGGAAACAAAGATTTTATGGTGGGACAGTTGACGAGCAGTGGAGGACTTTCAAAGCGATCTTTCAAAGTGCTCAGCAAAAGTATATTCCAATGAAAAGGAAGGACTGTAAGAAAAGGGGTAATCTGCCATGGGTGTCTAAAGAAATAAGGGAGGCTATCAAATTGAAAGAGAAGGCATACAAAGTGGCCAAAAACAGCATGAAACTAGAAGATTGGGAAAACTTTAAAGGTCAACAGAAAGCCACAAAAAGAGCTATAAGGAAAAGTAAGATAGAACATGAGAAAAAACTAGCACAGAATATAAAGACAGATAGGAAAAGTTTCTATAAATATATAAAACGAAAAAGAGTGGCTAAAGTAAATGTTGGCCCTTTAGAGCATGAGAAGGGGAATTTAGTTATGGGATATGATGAAATAGCTGAGGCATTGAACAGGTATTTTGTATCGGTCTTCACAGTGGAGGACACTAATAACATGCCAGTAATTGACAAAGAGACGAAGGTAGGTGAGGACCTGGAAACAATCATAATTACGGAAGAGGTAGTGTTGGGCAAGCTAATGGAGCTAAGGATTGATAAGTCTCCTGGCCCTGATGGAATGCATCCCAGGGTACTAAAAGATGGCGGGAGAAATAGCAGGTGCACTGGCGGTAATTTTCCAAAATTCGCTGGACTCTGGGGCAGTCCCAGCAGATTGGAAAACAGCAAATGTGACGCCACTGTTTAAAAAGGGAAGTAGACAAAAGATGGGGAATTATAGACCAGTTAGCTTAACCTCCGTAGTGGGGAAGATGCTCGAGTCTATTATCAAGGAAGAAATAGCAAGGCATCTTGATAGAAATTGTCCCATTGGGCAGACGCAGCATGGGTTCATGAAGGGCAGGTCATGCTTGACAAATCTTTTGGAATTCTATGAAGACATTACGAGCGAGGTGGACAATGGGGACCCAGTGGATGTGGTGTACCTAGACTTCCAAAAGGCCTTTGACAAGGTGTCATACAAGAGGCTACTGCATAAGATAAGGATGCATGGCATTAAGGGTAAAGTATTAGCATGGATAGAGGATTGGTTGACTAACAGGAAGCAAAGAGTGGGGATAAATGAGTGCTATTCTAGCTGGCAGTCAGTGACTAGTGGTGTGCCTCAGGGATCGGTGTTGGGACCGCAATTATTTACAATTTATATAGATGATTTGGAGTTGGGGACCACGTGTAGGGTGTCAAAGTTTGCAGATGACACTAAGATGAGTGGCAAAGCAAAGTGTGCAGAGGACTGTGAAACTTTGCAGAGGAATATAGATACATTGAGTGAGTGGGCAAAGGTCTGGCAGATGGAATACAATGTAAATAAATGTGAAGTCATACATTTTGGTAGGAGTAATAGTAAAAAGGATTATTACTTGAATGGTAAAAAGTTGCAGCATGCTGCTATGCAGAGGGACCTGGGTGTCCTTGTGCATGAATCACAGAAGGTAGGTCTGCAGGTACAACAAGTAATTAGGAAGGCAAATGGAATTTTGTCTTTCATTGCTAAAGGGATTGAAATAAAAAGCAGAGAGGTTAAGTTGCAGCTGTACAAGGTGCTGGTGAGGCCACACCTGGAGTACTGTGTGCAGTTTTGGTCTCCTTACTTCAGAAAGGATGTACTGGCACTGGAGGGGGTGCAAAGGAGGTTCACTAGGTTGATTCCAGAGTTGAGGGGGTTGGCTTATGAGGAGAGACTGAGTAGATTGGGATTATATTCATTGGAATTCAGAAGATTGAGGGGGGATCTTATAGAAACATATAAAATTATGAAGGGAATAGATCAGATAGAAGTAGAGAGGATGTTTCCACTGGCAGGTGAAGTTAGGACAAGAGGGCATAGCCTCAAGATTAGAGGGAGCAGATTTAGGACTGAACTGAGAAGGAATTTCTTCACCCAGAGGGTTGTTAATCTATGGAATTCCTTGCCCAGTGAAGTAGTTGACGCTACTTCAGTAAATGTTTTTAAAAAAAAGTAGATATTTTTTTGAACAATAAAGGAATTAAGGGATACGGTGAGAACGCGGGTAAGTGGATCTGAGTCCACGAAAGGATCAGCCATGATCTTATTGAATGGCGGAGCAAGCTCGAACGGCCAGACGGCCTACTCCTGCTCCTAGTTCTTATGTTCTTATGTTCTATGTTCATCAATGGTTGCATAAATAGCTTAAAAATAGTTAAAGGAGGAGCAGAGTTGATTAGGGACCAAAACTGGATTTATATTTTGGTGGCAAGTTGTTTAATGAAGATAAGGGTTGGGGGTTGTAGGGGAGTGGAGGAGTGAATGAATAGGTGGATCAGAGGAATAGAAAAAAAAAAGTTAGGTAAAGAAATAGATGATTCTAAGTTTGAAAGGAGAAAAGCTGAAAATGGCGTCCATGAGTAGGTGAAAATGGGTTGGCTCTGCTGAAAGCTACCCATGTCATGGCAGGGCCTGGGGTGTGGGGCTGGAACGACATGGAAGGAAATATTCAGGGTCTATTGAACACTATTGAGCCCTGAAGGCTGCAGTGTCCCTAAGCTGAAAATGAGATGTTGCTCTTTCAGCATGCACTGAGCCTTCCTGGAGCACTGCAGAGGCCAGGGAACAGTGTGGTGTGTTGAAGTGGCAGGCAACTGGAAGCTTGGTGTAACTTTTATGGATACAACGTAGGTGTCCGCAAAGCAGTCACCCAGTCTACATTTTGTCTATCCAGTGTAAAGGAGACCATATTGTGAGCACTGAATATGGTAGACTACATTGAGTGAAGTGCAAGTTAATCTCTGCTTCACCTGGCAGTTATGCCTGAAGCCTTGGGTAGTGAGGAAGGAGGAGGTACACGGGCATTAAAAGATGTCCCTTCTATCAGTGATTCTGTCCAGCAGCCTGGGAGCCAGTTCAGACTCAGGAGACATCTCTGGGGTTCCAGGTAACAGTGTGGAGCTGGAGGAACACAGCAGGTCAGGCAGCATCAGAGGAGCAGGAAAGCTGACGTTTCGGGTTGGGATCCTTCTTCAGAAATGGGGGAGGGGGAATTGGGCTCTGAAATAAAGACAGCAAGTAGATAGTGGAGCTATCTACCTGCTATCACCACCCCTCCTTTCTATTTATTTCAGAGTCCCCTTCCCCTCCCCCATTTCTGAAGTGTCCCAACCTGAAACGTCAGCTTTCCTGCTCCTCTGATGCTGCCTAACCTGCTGTGTTCCTCCAGCTCCACACTGCGTTATCTCAGACTCCAGCATTGGTAGTTCTTACTATCTCTGGGGTTCCAGGGGAAGCCACCCCAGGAAATTCCTAGCTTGTAACAAATGAAGTCATGTACAACTGACCTTTAAATATGGTACCAGAATCTTCTCACCGGAACATTCTGGGATTGATTTTCTGACTCACTCACCAGGTGATTTGCTACGTAAGACACACTACATCACTAGCATAGCTAATTAGCTGAGAAGCTCAAGACTGCATGAAATAACATGTTCTGGGGATCAGTGTATATGAAGTCATCCAACACAAGTGATGCCATAATTTAACTTCAAAATGAGGAATATTGGCCATAATTACTATTCCTTCACTTGTCCTGTTTCAAAATGCGGAACACTCTCCTTAACAGCACTGTGAACATGCTACACTACATGGACTGCAGTGGCTCAACATTGCACACACTACCAATTACTATGAGCAATTAGGGATGGGCAATAAGTGCTGACTGAAACTGAATAAAAAAATGCTGCCATCGTACTGTTGAGGCATGGTTTAAATATACTTGCAGCAAGATGTTATTTTGGCTAATAATGGACCCTAATTTGATTCTTTAGTTTATAACTTATTCACCAGGGTTGCACCATATCATGTGAAATTTGTATCGCAACAGGAGCAGCATCTCAGATTGACCAGTGGGTGAGAAATATTGAATGGAAAGAAAAACAAAATCAGCTAGGGAGTTTAAGACCTGATTTTAATAAACTGTTGAATAGCTTTTATTCACACAAACTTATTTTTACAGACGCTCCCAAACTATGACAGAAAATGTACACCATTTTTATAGGAATAAACATTGTGAAAAGACTTATTTCGAGAATCATATAATCAGTGTAGTATTATGGTCTGTGCTATAAAGCAAATATCCTTGAATGATATAGAGGGTCCAAAGGCTAGAGACGCACAAGCACCTATCTACAAGTGTAACACATACAGGTAAATTCTCAGAAGGTATGTTTCTGGAGTAATAGAGTCCCACACTCAAAGCAAAGGACAACATGGGTGTCTTACTACTGATTGGTAACCAGCAGTTCTGACTTCATTAGTTAAACATTAAAGCTTCCAAAAAGGCACAATTTTTGTTTTCTCCTGTACAAATCAATTACTGTATTTTAAGTCATATGGAGTCAGTGGTACTGGACCTGCCAGTATTCCTATAAATAAGCTTAAGAATTTTATTGTGTAGATATACACCTCAAATAAGTGCAGCATAGCAAGAGCCACATTTTTCAATTCCAGTGCAAGTGAAACAAGTGTCTTTTTGCTCAATAGTTTCCCCCCCTCCACCTACTGTCCTCAATTGAAGATGAATCATTACTAGCACAGTTGCATATGTATACACCTCAATATTCACATATGACCCCAGATAGCCATTGCAGATTGGCTATTTGACTGGAAGTATCATGGCTAAACTTTATTGGTAGAATTAGCATTAACTAGATTATAGTGGCTTCAAAATGGGATTTGGGAGACTTGAATGCCACCTGGCAGTTTCTGCAGTGGACTACCACTAACAGACCATGCACCTGTCTGCTTCAGGGGTCGGGATCCTTTTATATGCAAATTGTAGATGCATGGCATCTATTGAGCTCCAGCTGTCAGAATTGGTTGGAGCCTGTGCCACATTCGATCTGATCAGTTTTATGTATGGGGAGACTCCAAAAGGTTAAAGTTGTACTCGTGAGGCCATGATCAGGAGTGTAAGCATGGACAGGAAACTGGCTAAGTGCAAGAATTTGATAACATCAGAGTCCAACTTTGTCCTGTCTTCCCTGTGCATTACAGTAGAGAAGGTCAGGGGTGTCATGTGTTATGAAACACCTCTGAAACAAGTAGGACTTGAATCCAATGCTTAGACCATTCAATCACTCCATCATTAGGTAGAAAATGCAGAGCATGGGTATAATGGTGAAAGTATTCACCCAGACAAATTTGTCTCTTTCATTAAATCAGTATAAAAAAAATCTGCTGTCTTGACTTATGCTAACATAATCAGACTGTAGAACACACCTGAACCTTCTATATGTTTATCTCAGCACTACACTGAACCAAGGGTTTTTCTCCATCCCACTCCTAAACAGAGAATGTATAGATTTGGGAACATTCAAAATTGTAACTATATTTGTAATTACTTTTGCTTTCTCATTTAGAGAACATCACAAATTAGAGCAGAAGGCATTCTAATCTGTAACATTGGGTCAGTCATTGATATTCCATTAATGTTACAGTAATGAACTTTGAAATGATACGAAGATGAACAGTGTAAAACATCAAATTCCTAAGTGCATTACGACCAGAGATTGTTAGGGAAGATGGAATATGGCAGGTGGGTTTGGATTTAAAAACCCAGACTGAACAAATATCTTCACCTTTCAGAATGATATACCATAAGTGTTCTGGGCAGCATCCAGAGTAGAAAAGTCTCCAACACAATCCTTGGTATGTGTTGAATGAGGGAGTACACAGCAGTTAGTGTGGTTGGTTTCTGCAGACAAATTAGCTAACGAGCTCCTGGTCACTAACTAGTGGCTCCTTGTGGAGACTGGATTAGGTTGAATCATGATTTGCTCAATAGATGCATCTCCTGCCCAAACTCACCATCAACTGCACAAGATTTCATAAATGGTTCTAGCAGCAGTTGTGGAATTTAGTTCAGCCCAAGTTAATAAAGGAAGGACGGAAACACCTTCAATCATAAGGTAGAGCTCCAACTGTCTAACCAGCCAAGAATGAATTCAATTACAGAAAACAAATTCTATGCACAGACATAAGCGCATCCAACACATACAGACTATTAACAATCAAAGAAGTCAAGCCATATACACAAGTAATGGAAACAGTAAAGGCCCCGCCTCTACTTTCAGTGGCAGTTTAAAGCTTTGTTTTAAGTGCAATTTCATCATCTGGATGAAAGAGAAAGAAAATGCAGCGAGGGAAATCAGTGCCAAATCTTTGTGCCCATTTGAGATTCTTTGGCTTATATGATTTTATGTTTCAATGTTATATAGTACTCATCAGGATCACTTTTTCTAAATATGATTATGCAGCAAATCAGAATTCTGGATTTAAATAAAATATTGTGAATATATCAATAATGCATCATGCGGTCTCGCAATCATTTGCTACTAAAGGTTAGCAGGAGGATGTTAGAAGCCATGATTCCTTGTTCAATATATTTCAGTAAGCAGGCTGATAGACAGTGATAACCTGGACCACTTATAAAAATGATTATAAAGCATAGTCAGTGAAGAGCTAAAACGGGATTGTGAATGGGCCTTCCAATTACCCCAGGCAATGGGGAGACAAAGAAAATGAGAAACAACAATCGATGAAACCTTGAAAATATCAGCCCAGCTGTGTTTTAACAATATATTCTTATTGCACAAAATACAGCGTGATTCAGCAATCTTGCACATGCATTGGGGAAAGCTATATTCAGCAGGAACAAGTTAGAGAAAGGATTACAGCAGTAATGTTCCAATTCTCTAGTTATGGTCCACTAGAAGTGCAGGATTACAACATTCACAACTTATATTCCCTTCTTGTCAGTCTCTGTATTTAAATCTCAAGTGTTTATTTCATTACTTGAATACAATGGTGTCTTATTCTGTTAACTTCCTTTTTTTCTGCACACATCTGATATCAACATAATAGGTTGCAAATGAAACCTCTTGACGAAAGAGCAAAACAGTGATAAAAGTAAAATATTAAAATAAAGCTTCATTTACATTGTATATGATATAAAACATATAAAAAAAACTTCACTTTCTTGCTGTCATACCACTCAGGAAGCTTCTATTGATTTGAAATTTGTACCCTATTGTGCACACATAGGAAGTCTGTAACATGCTGTGCCATTTTTTTGAAGATTTGCATCAGGTCAAATGTGTTCAGTAACATGTAGCCAGTCCTTATTGGGTCACCTCTTATAAACCAAATAGTCAAGATTAATGGAATAAAAACAATTTCTCAGGTTTATACTCAGTTGATACAATTGTAGAAACCAGTCATTGCCCTTCATTTGTTGGCATTGAAACTTTGGGATTTTACCATTTAAACAGGGATGTCAGGAAAATTCTGGAAACATTGGAGTATAAAAAGAGAAGAAATCTAACAATACAAAACTACTCCACAAAATGTTAAGCAGAAGAATAATTATGACCCATCTGGTAATAATCAGCTGGCCGTGAACAAGCCTAGTGACTCTAAGTCGAGGTGCAGAAGAATGATCAGCCAATATACTACCATCCATAGAATAACAATGATATACGGTAATTGAGGACGAGTAGCAGATCCTGAAGGTGTCTTATCATGGATAACAGCAGCAGTTGGATGCCACATTGCTTCCAATATACTTGCATTGTCAGATTGTTGGACTGACCTGGGGTAAAGAATGGAAATATGAATACCAAAAGAATATTTGCAAGTCCTAAAGTTTCCATCATATATCATTTATAGCATCAAATCAGTGCTAGGTGCACTTCATTACAAGACCAGATAGTGTAGTGGTGTCCTACTCAGTGAGTATTGTGTGGGCATGCCACACTACAAGACCTGTTTGGTTTAGGGTGGGACAGGGAAACCGCTACCTGGTCAACTAGCATAGTCTCTTGTAGTTAACAAGGTATTTAGTTTATTGCTTGGTAGCAACTGCCTACAAGACCATAAGACATAGAAGCAGATGTAGGCCTTTTAGCCTATCAAGTTTGCTGCACAATGCAATGAGATCACAGCTGATCTGATAATCCCCAACTTCACTTTCTTGCCTTTTCCCCATGACCCTTGATTCAGTTATTAATGTCTATCTCAACCTTCAATATCTCTGTGATAAAGAATTCCACAGATTCAGAGTCATACAGCATGGAAACAGAGCCTTCAGTTCAACCGTTCCATGCCAACCATAATCCCAAACTAAACTAATCCCACCTGCCTGCACTTGGCCCATATCCTTCCAAACATTTCTTATTCATATACTTATCTAAATGTCTCTTAAATGTTGTAATTGTACCCACATCCAACCCTTCCTCAAACCACTCTGTGTAAATAAATTGCCCCTCATGTCTTTTTTTTTAAATGTTTATCCTCTCACCTAAAAAAAAAATACCCCTTTGTTTTGAAATCCCCCACCCTAAAGACAACTGCCATTCACCTTATCTATATTCCTCACGATTTTACAAAACTCTTTAAGGATATCCCTCAACCTCCTATGCTCCAGTGCAAGAAGTCGCAGCCTATCCAGCCTCTCCCCATAACTCAAACCCTTCATTCCTGGCAACCTTCCAGTAAATCTCTTACGAGCCCTCTCCAGCTTAATAATATCCTTCCTATAACGGGGCAACCATCACTGGACACGGTACTCCAGAAGAAGCCTCACCAATTTCTTGTACAACCTCAACATAGCATTCCAACTTCTACACTCAAAGGTTTGAGCAATGAAGGAAAGCATGCTAAACTAACTAATCTCAGGAGATATTTCTCCTCATCTGTCTTAAATGGGTGGCCCCTCATTTTGAGATTATGACTTTTAGTCCTCGATTTGCCTACAAGGTGAAATACCCTCTCAGCATCTCTCTGTCAAGTCTTCAATGAATCTTGTATGTTTCAATGAGATCTTCTCTAATTCTTTGAAATTCCAATGAGTACAGACACAACCTAATTAACAGCTTGTAAGTCAGTACTTTCATATCCAGGATCAACCTAGTGAACCTTCTCTGGACGCTGAAATTGTATGCTAGCCTTTTATGATTTATGTATTAGGCTTCCAAATCCCTCTTGTGCTGTGGAATTTTGCCATCTTTCACCATTTACATAACAGTCATCTCCTTATGCTTTCTGCTAAACCACACATTTTCCAACATCTGAGGAATTTTTTTTTCCACCCAGAGAGTGGTAGAAATAATGAAAGTGATGCCTGAGAGGGTGGAGACAGGTACTCTCAATATTTAAAAAATATCCGGATGAGTATTTAAAATGTTAGGATGTAGTAGCCTATGGAACAAATGCAGTCAAATGGGATTAGTGTGGTTTGATGTTTGTTGGTTTACATAGACAGTGGGCCGAAGAGCCAATATCTACGCTGTATGAGTCAGTGTATTCCATCTGCCAAGTTTTTTCCCCCGCTTGTTAAACTTGTCTAAATTTATCTGTTGAAGGGTCTAGGCCCGAAACGTCAGCCTTCCTGCTCCTCTGATGCTGCTTGGCCTGCTGTGTTCATCCAGCTCTACACCTTGTTATCTCAGATTCTCCAGCATCTGCAGTTCCTACTATCTCTTCCTCACCATTCACCTATTTTTGTGTCAGCTGCAAACACGGTTATAGTACACTCATTTTCTATGTCTAAGCCATGAATATTTATGGTAAATAATTGTGGCCCTAGCAGTGATCCCTATGATACTCCAGTAGTTATTGTTTGCCATCCTGAAAATGCTCCCTTCATCCCACCTCTCATTCTTCTAGCAGTCAATCCTCTGTTCATGCTAAAATATTATCTTCAACACCATGGACACTGATCTTATTAAGTAGCCTAATGTGTGGTACCAAATGCCTTTTGGAAATCTAAATAGATTATATCTATTTCTTTGCCCTTATCTATCCTACTTGTTACCTCCTCATAGAATTCTAATAAATTTATCAAGCAAAACCATGGCGACTCTGCTATCAGCTAAATGCTCTGCTGTACACCCTTTACAGCAGACTCCAACTTTCTCCCAATAGTTAATATTAAGCTAACTGACCTATAATTACCTGTTTTAGTCTCCTTCCCCTCCACTCCCCTCCCCTCCACTCCCCCCCCCCCCCCCCCCCCCCCAAAATAAACTGGCAGTCTAATCCACTGGGACTTTTCCAGTATCTAAGGAGTCTTTAAACATTGCAACCTGTTAGTCCACTATCTCTGACAGCTACTATTCCATATAGCTATAAGATTATACCCATTAATCTTTATTTGTGCCATTAATTCATTTATTTTGTTCTGAATGCTACATGTGCATTCAAGAAAAGAATGCTATTTTGCCAGTTTCTGTCCCATGCTAGGTATTGTTATCCAAATAGCTGTCTTGTAATGCTGCCATATCCTTTGCACTTTAAGACTAGGTATCCCATCTCCCAAACCCTCTAATTAGTTTAAAGCCTTATCTACAACTCTAGTTATTCAATTTGCCAGGGCACTGGTCCTAGCATGGTTCAGCTGCAGCCTATCCCACTGGAACAGCTCCCTTATACCTCACAACGTGAAGCTCATTCCACACATACCAATCTTTGAAACTGACTTTATATATCCTATGCCAGTTTTGGGATTCCATGGGAGACTTCAACATTTGGGTGGACTGGGATAAACAGGTTGGTAACAGATACCAAAAAAAGAAATTCTTGGAACATCTATGAGATTTTTTTTTTGCAGCATGTGGTGGAACCCACTAGGGGAACAGGCAATTCTGAATTTGGTGATGTGTGATGAGGCTGACTTGATTATGGAGCTGAAAGTGAAGGAACCCCTAGGGGGCACTGACCATAATATGAAAGAATTCACTCTGCAGTTTCAGCACGAAAAGCTTGAATTAGATATTTAATTGAGTAAAGACATTAGGGAGGAGCTGGCCAGAGTCAATTGGAAGTGGAGCTCAGCAGGGAAGGTGGTGGAGCAGCAATGGCAGGAGTTTCTGGAGGCATAGCAGAAATTCATCACAAGAATGAAGAAACATACTAAGGGGAGGGTGAAGCAACTATGGCTGACAAGGAAAGTCAGGGACAGCATGAAAGCAAGGGAAAAAAGCATACAACTGTGGTGAGGATTAGTGGGAAGCCAGGATTGGGAAACCTTTAAAAACCCGCAGAGGATAACTAAAAAAAAAGCAATAAAGGGACAGAACATGAAATATGAAATAAGCTAGCTAATAATATAAAGGAAGATTGCAAGAGTTTGTTTTAGATATATAAAAAGTGAAAGAGAGGCAAGAGTGGACATTGAACCAATCATATTGACTCACATACAGATCAGAAACATTTTAATTCTTCTGTTCTCAAGACAACAGCATCCATTCAGTATACGCCTCACATCAAGAGCTAGCTGGAATGCTAGCTTCAAGCTCCAGCATATCTACAGACTTTCAATTAATTTCCTTTGTGTAACCTGACCAATGCAGATCAAATCGTTTTACTTACTTTGAATAATCTTCAATACATTTGGCACTGTGACATATCGACCTGAAGCCTCTGCATTGAAATAGGTTTAGGGTAACAGCTGAAGTACAAATTCAGTATTCTTACCTTGTTTGGAGGTGTGTTTCATCTGTAAATTTTGCTTCATTCAGCAACAGCAGACTCTCAGTTATCTGCAGTTCAAAAAGTTATGATGTCAACAGTAAATGATTCTTTCATTCTTACATTTATGCAGAATGTACATTCCAAAACATAGACCCTCAACACTTTCTGCTAACATTTCTTAAACAAGGGTGATTCTTTTGAAAAATTGACTGCTCTATAAAATGGCTGGTATGACAAGTTGAAGTCATTTTACTCCCATTCCATAAGCCTATTGCACAGTTGGCAGTGAGGTCAATCTAGATATTTTCAATCAACCTGTTCAGACATGTCTTGACACATCTCAGAAGCAGATAGGTCTTGAACCCAAGCTTTACGGTCCAGAGGCAGGGACACTACAACTATGCTACAAGAGTCTTTCAGTGAAGCCAATCTAGGGAACTGTCGTAATTGGTATCACCAGAGTAATGAAGTAGGGAGGAAGGTTCAAGCTATAAAAACCTCATGAGTCATTTCAATTGTGCTCAAAAATATTTGAATCTGTGTTAAGGGAAGAGTTTTTTTTTCTTAATTTATCTTCATTTTTGTTGTTCATAAACATGTTTTTATTGTTCAAACAAGGACTGCAACATTAAGTGTTTTTGTTTAGTAAAAAGATCACTTCCGTCACTAAAGTAAAACAAAGTCTATCCAACCAATTTCCATAACCATTGGTGCTACTAGATCATAATATCTGCCACCCTTAGCACATGTGTGCATATATACCCCCAGTTCTAAAGAAGAGTCATATTGGATTTGAAATGTTAAAATTTTCTCTCCGCAGTTTCTGCCAGACCTGCTGAGTTTCTCCAGCATTTTCTCTTTGTTTCAGATTTCCAGGATCCACTGTATATTGCTTTTATACCCTCATATCCCTGTGTTCCTATATGCCCTTTTAGAATTGTATCCTTTAGTCTGTTTTTCCTCATCCTTCTATGATAATAGATTACTTCACATTGCACTGCATTAAATTTCATCTGCTACCAGTCTATGTCCTCTTCACAGTTCATGATACTTCCAGCTTTTGTGTCATCAGCAAACTTTGAAATGGTGTCCTGCATGCCTGTATAGGATGCGCCAATGGGGTAAAGGTTAATGATGATATTCGACAGCTGCATGAGCAAATAGATTGTATAGGATAAGCTGAAGGGATAAAACTGATGATACTTGACAAGCTGCATGACCTTGAATGAATCCTGTGAACGTTCCTTCACAGGCTGAAGACGACACCAGCTTGGTTTTCTGTAGCTGTTTTCTGTAGTGGTCAGAAATTTTGTCTTCTATAGTTGTTTTTTCTGTGCCTTGCTGTTTGTCACACTGCATGAGAATAAGTGTTTCGTTCCAAGTCATTGGACTTCGCCTCAGACTAGAATCGTGAACAGTGCCAGAACAAGCTCAGCCTCCAGACCAGCCCTTGACGAGAGGTCCCCAATAGCTAGAAGGATATGAGGCTTATTGTTTTTTTTCCCTTTTTTTTCATTCTTTTTTATTTACTTAATAAATCTTCCTTTCTTTGACTTTTATTATTACTCAATAAATGTTCATATTTAAGTAATTTGCTGTTGTCGAGTCTTCTCTTAACTACATTTAACCGAATCTGAAAAGAACTGCTTGGATGCTGGATCCAAGATAACACCCAGTCAGCATCAATATTGCTCAAGAAAAGCAGTTGTCTCAATACCAACTCCTCGGGAACCCCATTATATACCTTCCTACAGTCTGAAATAAACTATTCATCACACTCTCCACTTTCTCTCATTCAGCCAACTTTGTATTCATTCTACCACTGCCCATTTCATTTCACACACAAATTAGATCAATATAAATTTGCCCCAAACAAAAACATGGTGATTTCCATCAAGCAATATCTGTTTATCCCAGATTATTGTCTCTAAATTATTTTGGAGGAAACTTTCTGCTAATCCAAAACTGAATGATGAACATGTAGTTTGGCAATTTGGCAACTGTGGAGGAGTTGAGAGAGTTGGTGGTATGGTAGAGCAGGGTGTGCTCAGCATATATGTGAAAACTGATTTATTTTTAAGGATAACATTGCTGTGGGACATTATGTAGATCAGAAATATGGATCAATCAACAGCAGTTCTCACCAATTTATAAAACATTGTTTGGCTTTGATTGTAGCTAAAGTCAAAAACTGCTGGGCTTAGACTACATCCATACTTCATTGAAACTTCATTATAGATTCTGCATGAACTCAACACAAGTATGTAGCAACATGAAGGATACTGAGGGGGCTTTACAAGGTCGATGCGTCACAGGTAGACGAGGCGATCAAGGAGGTGTTTGGTGCACTTGCCTTCATTGTTTAGAGCAGTTGCGACATCAAGTTGTGGCTGTACAAGACATTAATGAAGTCAATTTTGGACTACTCCATACAATTCTGGTGTCCCTGCTATAGGAAGGATGTTATTACACTGGAAAAGGGGCAGAAAAGATTTACAAGGATGTTGTTGGGACTGGAGGATTTGAGTTATAAGGAGAGATTGAATAGTCTGGGACATTTTCCCCTGGAAGGTAGGAGGCTGAGGGGTAACTTTTAGACATTTGTAAAATCATGACAGGCATAGATAAGGTGATGAATAGCCAAGGTCTTTTCCCGAGAGTAAGCAAATCCAAAACTAGAGGGCATAGGTTTAAGGTGAGATGGGAAGAATTTTAAAAAGGACCTGAGGGGCAACCTTTTTACACAAAGGATGGTGCATGCATGGTATACACTGGCACAGGAAGTGGTAGAGGTGAGTACAATTACAACATTCAAAAGACATTTGGACAGGTACATGGATAAGAAAGGTTTAAAGGGATATGGGCCAAACACGGCCAAATTGGACTAGTTTAGTTTGGGAAACCTGATCAGCATGGGCGAGTTGAACCAAAGGGTCTATTTCTGTGCTGTATGACTCTATGCAGAGATGTTTCACTTCATAGGGGAAATCTAGATCTGGGCATAAATTTAAAATAAAGAGTCTCCTATTTAGAAACATAAAACTATAGGAGCAGGAGTAGGCCATCTTCAAGCCTGCTTCACCATTCAATATTATCATGGCAGATCATCCAACTCAATAGTTTGTTCCTGCTTTTTCCCCATATCCTTTGATCCCTTAAGCCCAAAGTGCTATATTCATCTCCTTTTTGAAATCATACAATGTTTTGGCCTTGACTGCTTTCTGTGGTAGTGAATTCCATAGGCTTACCACTCTCTGGATAAATAAATTTAAGACACATACAAGGAGAAATTTTGTCTCAGAGAATCGTTAAGCTTTGAAATTTACTATCCACAAAAAGGGTTAAGAAATTAGAATTTATCTACAAGGCAGTCAAAGATTACGAGGGGACACAGGCAGGAGAGTGGTGGTAAGGTCATAACTGGAACAGTCATGATCTTATTGCATAGATGGGCAAACTTGACAGATCAAATGCGCTGCTGCTATTCTAATGCATGATAAATTATAAATGTCAAGGCAGCTCTTCATGAGTCACTAACTCAAAATATTGGAAAATGTTCATTCAGCACAGTCTACCATGCAGACTACCTTGGGCCGAGTCTTTTGTCTTGTCATTGATAGTATATTGGGATTAGGGCAGTGTTCATGCTGAATCAGTTTTTCATCTTGGTTGATTGAGTGTTCTTCTGAATCACTTGAACATTGTTCATCCTGAGGAAGAAACAAGATGCTGCTGTTAATTTGAGGCTCAAATATTCTGTGTCCTACCAGCTTATTTCCAGCATGTAGGCCCCTTGGTTCACCTTTTTGGATTGGCAGAGAATTTTTCCAGCCTTGCCAAAACTAGTGAAACATTAGGGGGAAGGGCTATAATTGGGAACTATGTATGGAGTTCATGTACGTCCCAATCTCCAACAGGACCTGGATTAATCAGAAGCAAAAGTGGGGACCATTTGGGCATCATATAATCACAAGGAGATTCAATGTTTTGTTTCCAAACATAAAAGTTAAATGCTATTCCCTTTCAAAAGGTAAAAAAGTCAATTTTACCGTGTCCTTTCAGACCCAGGACATACTAAAATCATAGATTTTCACATTACTGAAGGAAGCCATTTGACCCATCGTGTCTGTACTGGCTCAGGAAATAGCTACCCAACTAGTCCCACTCTCCAGCTTCACCACTTTCAAACATATATTCAGGTCTCGTTTGAAACTTCCGATGGAATCCACCTCCACTACTCTCGCAGGCAGTGCATTCTAAATCCTAACGACTCTCTGAGTAAAGAAGTTTCTCCTCATCTTACTTCTAGCTCACTTGCAATCTTGAAATTGTGACCTGTAGTTATACCAACTAGTGCGAACAGAATATGCTTCTTTACCCCAAAATTGTTCATAATTTTGAACACCTCAATAAGGTCACCTCTTAATTTTCTTTGCTCCAAGGAGAATAAGCCCAAACTCTAATCTTTTCTTTTATCTAAAATCCTTCATTCCTGGTATCATTCTAGTAAATCTCCTTTGAACTCTCTACTTGCCTTTAGCATCTTTCTTTAAATAAGTTGCCCAGAACTGAACACACTACTCCAAATGTGGTCTGACCACTTCTTTGCTTTTATACTCTATGCCCCTATTTAAAATAACCAAGGATCCTATAAGCCACCTTAACAACTGTTGCAACTTAGCTGGCCACCTTCAGAGAATCATACAAGTGAACCCCAAGGTTCCTCTGCTTCTGTGCTCGCCTCAAAGTTATACCATTGAGCCTGTACTGTCTGTCAATGTTTCTTCTACTAAAATGCATTACCTCACATTTCTCTGCATTCAAATTCATCTGCTGAGTGTCTGCCCATTTGGCCAACTTGTCACTGTCCCTCTGAAGTCGCTCAGTGTCACCTTCACAATTTACTATTCTCCCTAGCCTAGTATCATCTGCAAGTTTAGAGATTTTGGCCTCAACACCCATCTCAAAATCGTTAATATAAATAAGAAAAAGCAAGGGTCCCAACACCAATCACTGGGAAACACCATTTTCAACTCTTCTCCAATCTGAGAAATACCCATCTATGCCTACTCTGTTTCCTATTCTTTAGTCAATTTCTAATCCATACTGCCAAGGACCCATCATTGCCAAACATTTCTAAGTTGCTAACTAACCCGCCACATGGCCCCATATCAAATGCTTTCTGAAAGTCCAAGTGTACAACATCCACAGTACTATCCTCATCCATTGACTGTGTCACCTTGTCAAAGAACTCAATTAAATTTGTCAGACATGAACTCCCCTTGACAAAGCCATGTTGACAGTCTAGTGTTAACTTAAACTTTCTCGAAGTTTATCCCATATTACGGCCTTCATCACTTTTCCCACTATTGATGTCAAGCTGACAGGTCTGTAGTTTCCTGGATTATCCTTTGTCCCTTTCTTAAACAATGGTGTCACATTTGCTAACCTCCAGTCCCCAGCATTAGTCCTGTGTTCAGAAAGGCCTGGAAAAGTTCTGTCAATGCCTCCGCAATTTGATCCCTTAACTCTCTCGGATGCATGCCATCCGAGCCTGGTGACTTCTCTACCTGGAGTGCTGTCAGCCTTTTTAACCCTGCTTCTTTATCTATCATTATACTGCTTAGTTTCTCAACACCCATGTTTTCAACTAGGCCATTGTCACCATCTTCTAATTTGGTAAAAGTCAGCAGTCACATGACATCAGGTATAGTCCACCAGGTGTATCTGATATCAAGATTTCAGAGCGCTGCTTCTTAGTCAGGTGAAGTGACTGCACTCCTATAGTCAAAGGTTTGAGCAAAGGCAGCAACTGTGCCAAACACCTTTTTAACCACCCTGTCTATACATGACGCAAACTTCAAAGAATTGTGTACCTGCACCCCTAAGTCCCTTTGTTCTACACATGACCCAAGGCCCTACCGTTAACGTATAAGCCCTACCCTTGTTTGTGTACAAAGATGCAACACCTCGCTTTTATCCAGACTGAATTCTATCCGCCATTTTTCAGCCCATTTACCCATTTGATCAAGATCCCTTTGTAATCGTAGAATCACTGTCAGCACTACTATGCCAGCAATTTTGGTGCTGTCCACAAACTTACTAACCATGCCTTCTGTATTCTCATCCAAATCATTCATATAAATGACAAACTAAAGAGGACCCAGAACCAAGCCCTGTGGAACAACGCTGGTCACAGGCCTCCAGTCCAAAAAGCAACCATCCACCATTACGCTGTCTACTGATGTTAAGCCAATTGTGTGTCCAATTGGCAAGCTCACCCTGAATCCTCTGTGACCTAACTTTACTAATTAGTCTACCATGTGAAGCCTTGTCAAAGCCTTTATTAAAATCCAAATAAACAAGGTCTACTGCTCTGCCATTATCAATCATTTTAGTAACTTCCTCAAAAAAAACTCAATGCTTCCTCTTAGCCTTCCTTACTCCAGCCTTAGCCTCTATCCTGCATTTGGGATGTTCTTCTAATTTCTATTGCCATTATTATTTTGGCATGTATCATAAGCCTCCTTTTTCTTTTTTATTTTCTCATCAATATCCTTAGTCATCCAGGGTACTCTAGCTTTGGATACCCCTTATTTTATTTCTCATGGGTATCCAGCTTGCACTCCATTCATCTCCCTTTTGAAATTCTCCCATTTTCCATTTACTGTTTTATCCACTAAAATGCGTTTTCAATCAACATACTTCAGTTCAACTTTTAGACTACTAAAATCTGCCCTTTTCCAGTCTGATTGCCTCATTGACATTTATTTTTAATCCTTTTCCAACTTAATATTGAACCTGATTATTGGATGATCGCTATTTCCAAAATACTCCCCTACTCTGATGTTCTCCACCTGGCCTGCCTCATTTCCTTGGATCAGATGCAGCACAGCACTCTCCCTGGTGGAACAAGAAATGTACCATTGCAAAAAGTTCTCCTACACACATTGAAAGAATTTCTCCCCTTTTGTGCCCCACACTTTACGTTTATCCCCCAGTCTACCCTACGGTAATTGAAATCACCAACTATCACAACTTTACTTGTCCTTCAGATTTCCATAATCTGTCTACAAATGCTCTCTTCTACTTTCTCCCCACTATGTGGAGGTCTACAACAAAATACCCAACAAGGTCACTGCTCCTTTCCTGTTTCTCACCTTCAACCTATAAATTCTAATCAGGAACTGTATCTCATACTAAAGCACTTTATAGTCAATTAAGTACTTTTGAAATTTAGTCACTGTTGTAATGGAGGAACAATGGCAAATAAGCTCCAACAAACAGCAAGAGATAGCAAGACCTGCAGATGCTGGAATCAGAGATAACACAGTGTCGAGCTGGAGGAGCACAGCAGGCCAGGCAGCAGAAGAGCAGGAATGTTTCGGGTCGGTGGAGGGCGTGGGTGGCGTTCAAGACGCAAGTGGGGAGTTCCTGGACCGGGGGGAAAAGAACAGTCATCCGCGCCTACTCCAGTGTCACAATGATGCCACCGCAAACTGGAGGAGCAGCACTTCCTATTCTGCCTTGGGAGCCTACAGCCCAATGGCCTAAACATGGATTTCACCAGTTTTAAAATCTCCCCAACGCCGGCCTCATCCCATGTCCAACCCTCCCTTTCATCCCCAACTCCTTAACCTGACACAACCTGTCCATCTTCTATCCCACCTATCTGCCCCTCCCACTTCACTGACCAATCCCCACCACTCCCTACCTGCACTCACCTATCACCATCCCACCTACCTTCCCCAATCCCACCCCTCCTCTATTTATTTCTGAGCTCCCTTGCCCCTCCCCATTTCTGAAGAAAGGTCCTGACCCAAAACATAAACTTTCCTGTTCCTCTCATGCTGCCTGGTCTGCTGCGTTCCTCCCACAAACAGCGATCCATTTTTATATTTTTCAGAACACAAAAGGGCAGCTGTGGTAATTCTTATGAGGTTTCTGGTGAAGGCCCAGATGACGACCTCCAGTGGAATTTCCTTTGGCAGGATGATGCACTGCCAGCAGTTCAGGCATCTATCACTGGCTGGCAAGTCAGGATCCCCTCCTTTTGCGCTAAAATTCCATAATAAAGTCTTAAGGTTTTAGCTTCTTACAACTGCCGCTATTAAAAGAAACAAATAAAAAGTGAACACTACATATACAGTGGGTTCATCTGTAATATTGTTTATTAATCATTCACAGGATGTGGATGTTGCTGACTGGGCCAACAATAATTGCCCATCCCTAGTTGCTCTTCAGAAACGGAGGTGAGCTGTTTTCTTGAAATGCTGCAGTCTATGTACTGTCATTAGACGTGAAGAAAAAGCAATATATTTCTGTGATGCTAGTGGTTACAGGCTTGAAAGATTCTGTCCAAAGAGTCTTAGTGACTAGTACACATTGCTACTATCTTCAGTGGAGTAGGGAGTGAATATTTGGAAATAGGAAAGTATTGAAGGCAGAGACCTTTCATCTGGAATGAAAAGGGACAATAAAAAAGTTATTTTATAGGAGCAAACCACATTGAGGAGGGCAGAGCAACAGGCAAGGATTATAGGTCAAATGCAATATTTATCAGTAATAGAGAGTCTTGTTAGGTTTAAATAATTGGCAAGAAACACAAGTACTAGGAGCAGGAGTAGGCACTGCACACTGTGGTTGTGAATTCCACAGATTCATGATCCTTTGAGAGAAGTAACTTCTCCTCATCTCTTCTTTAAATCTGCTACCCATTATCTTAAAATTACGAACTCTCATTCTAGATTAGCCCACAACAGGAAACATCCTGTCTACATCTACTTTGTCAAACCCCTACAGTATTTTATATACCTCAATCAGATTTCCCCTCATTTTTCTAAACTCCAGACAGCATAGACCTAAACTGCTCAATCTGTTTTAATAAGACAAATCCTTCACCTCTGGAATCAATCCAGGGAACGTCTAATGCAACTGCGTCTAATGCAACTGCGTCCCTCCTCAAGTAAGGGGACAAAATTGTATGCTATACTCTAGCTGCCATCTCACTAATGCCTTGTAGAGTTGCAGCAAAATTTCCTTAGTTTTACACTCTATTCTTTTGGCAATAAAGGCCTGACAAATCTAGAAAAATGTTGAAAAGCCTGAGATGATGAATACAAGTCAAATTTGTGAAACAGTACCAGAAGGATTAGGGGAGAGTAAAACAGATAGAAAGTGGAGTCTTTACCCTGCCAAATTCCACAAACCTGCACTGTATATTTCTTTCTGTTTCTTTCTTCTCCTAGTCGATCTCTGAAGCAATTGAACGTAGGTTGTCAAGACAAATTGGAATATTTCAGGTCTCTTGTGAAATAGTGGAACCAATGTAGGCAATGTAGTGAGAAAAAACAAGGTACGTAAGAGGGTAAGGGAGAATGAATAAGCAGAGAATGGGGAAAAGGATGAAAGTACTAAGGATGGAGAATTCAAAATCAGTGGAAATAGGGTTTGAAGTAAACCAGTCATTAGAAGAACTGAAATCTAATAAATTAGAGGAGGGATATTGTAAAATGGGATAATGAAGCAGAATAGAATTAGCCTGTAAGGAATAACTGGCGACTGTGGTTAAATGGCAAGGGAAGAGAATAGTATCCAGTTGCAAGGAAGGAGCTAGAATCTTTCTTGTTGGGATGGTGAGTTGAGCTGCACAACTTGACAGTCTGGGTGTGATTTTCTTAGTAGAGTTTGGTCCCATTAGAATCAGAAATTAGCTACATTTCAGTGATAACACTCTTGCTGCCAAGGCAAAAGATTGTGGACTCATGTCCCACTCCAAAGATATGAGTACATAATCTAAGCAGACACACTCAGTGAAATACTGTACCTAATTTAACAAAATCTCCCAAACTCAGAATTTTTGAAGTCCTCCCTTTTAAAAGCATTGAGAAATGAAATGAAAAATCTACTTCTCGTAGTTAAATGGGATCTGTCTGCTAGACAGACTAGTACTTAACCCAACCACATTGTAGCCCCTAGTCTGTTTCACTCACCATTGCTTTCAGGAGTAACTCATGGCTGTGATCTTTATGGCTGGTGAAAATATCATAACTGCTGTTCTCTTGCGATTTTTCAGCACTTACTAAACTACGTGAACTGAAAAAACACAAATCAAGTATCAGACAAGAGATCAGTTTGAAAAGAGTTAAAATTAGTTATTTAATAAAGAAAAATCTGTTTTATGGCTTGCAATTTTATTTGGAAAAGAGTTAATGATGATCTTCTGGTCACTTAGTCCAATTGCTCCTTTTTGTCCCAATGTCAATTTATGTCTTATTTAGCTTCCATGAAACTTGAGATTTCTGGAGAAATTTTACTACATTAAATATTCTATATTAAATACAAGTTGTTGTCCTGGTTGCTGATTGTACATTAGAAGCAAAAGTCTACGGAAAAGTTAACTGCTAAATAAGAAGAGGAGAAGGGCAAAAAGTCAGATAGAAATAGAAATCACCATGAAATCACAGAACTTTGCAGGACAGTGTGTTGCCCATCTTTGGTATCAGTTGGCTGTTCTGGACCACCACCATAACTCTCCACATCTTCTCCTGTCTCTTTCAGACCCATTTGACTTGGCAGCAAATACAAAAGCTGGTTGTCTAATGCCTGGAAAGGATAGAAAAATCAGCCTAACTATGACAGCTCTAGACAACACAACTCAAAAATCTTCCAAAAACATATGCATTGCTGATTTTTATTTAAACTGCTTTCTACTTTCAAATCAAAATTTGCTTCTAATCTTCATCTATGTCTTTTTCCATACAGTTTCTGTTTTTCAGAAAGACTCATCACCAATCGCTGTTCCAATCATACTGATGTTGACAATATCATGTTGACAATGTCGAGTTTGACAATTTGGCCAAATAAGCAGACCTTTAGCAGACGAATTTCGATGTAGAGAAATGTGAGGTAATGCAATTTGGGAGAAAACACATTGAGAGAGAAAATACAGGCTCAAATGGTACAACTTTGATGGTATCACAGGAGCAGAATAACCTTGAGGTTTACGAGCATAATTCTCTAAAGGTGGCCAGGCAAGTTGCAACAGTTGTTAAGAAAGCTTATAGGATCCTTCAGTTTACAAGCAAAGTATGAAGGCAAGGAAGTGATGCTACAACTCTACAAATCATTGGTTAGACCAAATTTGGAGTATTGTGTTCAGTTCTGAGCCCTTTATTTAAGGAAGCATGTTAAAGCCTGGGGAGAGAGTAAAAGAAATTCACTACAATGATACCAGGAATGAGAGATTTTAGATACAAGGAAAGATACCAGGAAGGAAAACTGGCCTAAGCTTTTCTGCTTCAAGGAGATTAAGAGGCGACTTTATGGAGGTGTTCAAAATTATGAACCACTTTGACTGGGTAAAGAAGGATATTCTGTTTCCATTTGTTGATATTTCGGTAATTAGGGTTTACAATTTCAAGATTGTCAGCAAGAGAGCTATGAGTGAGATGAGGGGAAACTTTTTTACTCACAAAGTTGTTAGGATTTGGAGTGTGCTGCCCAGGAGAGTGGTGAGGCAGATTCCATAGATGGTTTCAAAAGAGATCTGGGTATATATTTGAAAGTGATGAATTTAGAGGACTAGGGAGAAAAGGCTAGAGAATGGGACTAACTAGCTAGCTCTTTCTAGAGACGGTACAGACATGAAGCGCTCAATGGCTTCCTATTGTACTGTAAAATTCTGTTATCCTGAAATTCTGAATTAAACTAAAAAAAATAATTTATGGCATTTTAAAACAGTTTGGTCTGATTAGTTGTCAATTTAAAAACAGTCGGCAGTTTTCATTGCTAAAATCTCTCAAATATCTAGTAAAAGACAACTGGATTTTGCTGTCCAAAGGTCTAGGCAGTCCTCCAGTAATTCATCCAAGTAACCGTTATTTTTATTATCTATTTAGAATATTTCTCCTTTATTCTCTAGTTTATATTTAAGGATACAGGGATGGTTAGATCAATTGATATTTCATAGGAATGAGTAACAATACCAGTGCTCACTGTTCTTCTACATTGCTATTCCAGATTAGCTGTGCAGTTAAGCTGGTATGTTTTGCAACATAAATGTACCACTAAACTCCACAAGTTTGACTTTTACCTGTTCTTTTAATTGGCTTTGCAGTCTACTCAGTTATACAAAAGACCAGGAAGACAATTTTGTTGCTACTGAGTGACATTTGTAGACCAGACTCAGCAGGATGGTAAATTTCCAATCTCTAAAATTACCTTAAGTGGACAAGTTGGATTTTCACAACGGTCAGACTGTTTGAAGAGATTGGAAACTTTCCACTTTTATCTCTAGAATTATAGCAAAACAGAATTCGAATTCTCAGACTGCCATTGGGAATTTGAACCAAATGAATTCTGAAACTCCATGGTCAACTATGACTAGCAACTAACAACAGAACGTTAAGAGTTTGAATTGTAAGCAAATGAGGCCTCGAAAATATTGCAGTAATCTGCACGAGAGTAGGAAGGCTTTACAAAACATTATACTGGACCTCTCAATTCAGGGTGTCAAATGTAATGAACGTTTGTTACCTTTGGACCCAGACTGTTTTCCTCTTGATCCTTTTCATGATCTCTTTTGGACATCTGAAGATCTCCATTCTTTGTCACTGAAGATTTACCTTCCAAAAATTGTTCATTAATAGCTTCCAAGTTAGGCTGTTCTGGCAATTTATTAAAAGGGTTCACAATGCTTTCATTGGTGGTGGTGCTAGGCATTGCTACTGGCAGAAACTGAGACAACTCAGTTCCTTGACAAGAAGAAAATGACTGAGCAATCTTACCAGGTTCAGCATGGTTAGAGTTGCTCGAGCTGTCAATCTGATCAGGGTCAGGGGTGCACAATGTTTTTTCAGAGAATGTTGGACTAAGTTCCTGCAATGAAAATGAACCACTGAGCTCAGAGCAAGATTGGTAAGCTTCATCAGGCAGTGGTGACAGGTCTTTCTGAAAATCTGGGACAAGTTCCTTTTGAGGACTGCCAGTGACTGAAAAAGCTTCAAGTACCTTAGATACTGGTACTTCATAATGAGGATAGTACACAAGATTAAGTGGAATTACAGACACTTTTTCATCACCCACAAGTGCATTATCTATTACTGAAGGCAATAGCTCATTCTGTTCAGGAGATGGTTTCTCATCAGTCTGTGTACATGATTCTGAAACTTTACGTATCTGAGCAGGCATACTAGCATTAGATTGAATGTCCATATGGTATAAAGAAACACACTGATCTTGTGGACTTTTGAGATTTTCATCCAATCTATTAGATGAGTATGTGATTTCCAAGAAGGTGTCACTTTGATTTTCTGAAGAAGATTCAGGTGTTTCAACTCTGGACCCAGCTTTCAACACATTATTTGCTGCAATTGGTGAATGAGAATCATAAGGGACGGGAGAGGAAGGTTTCTTCTCCAGCAATGTTTTCTCACCAGTTGAAGACTTTCTTTTCAATGGATGTAACAGGACATAAATCTCCTCTACCATGTCAGTGGCATTGTTGTCAGAAGCAGGTTGTAGGAGTACATTGTGCAGATCAGAAGATGACAATTGACTATCTCGATGTAAGGACGTACTTGATTTATCAATATTGGAAACATCAATCATGTCATTGGTAACCATGTCTGTTTCATCAGAACTACTGCCCTGATTAACAAAAGAATTATCGTTTTCTTTACATAATGGCTGATTGTCATTCACCACGACAGTTTGTGGAGATAATTTCTCATCTTTCAGGTGGGAGGATATAAAGACTGTAGGGTCCTGTAGGGGAGGTGAAACATTATCTGAATCATGATGTTCATTTCCAACGGGTATGTTATTGGAATCTTGTGCACTAAGATCTGAGGACATGGCTGCAAAGCTGTTTTGAGAGTCCTCAAATGGAGATTCATCGGCATATTCTGCAGTATCATTCTGTCAGCAAAAGAAAAGTAACGATTAGATATAATAACCCGGCTTAAATATTAATGTGAATTAGGAACTAGAGTAGGGTTCATATTATATATATAATATTTCATGACATGACTAAACCCTAATTTCCATCATTTGTAGAAAGCAACTTTTTTTCATTGGCAGGTAAAGGAAAAAAAATTGCTGTACATCTGCTCTCATAGACCTCTCAGTGACTGGTTTCAGCACCAATGGCCACCACCCTTACATCTGGCCAGGTATTGGAAAGAAGAAAATGCGTTGGTGATCTGATCAGTATTTTTTACAGAATTTTATTTTGATGGGATTTTCTCTTAGACTTAAGTGTGACAACAAGCCTAATAGAGGATGGGGCATGCTCAGAGCAGCAGGATGCATTTTCTCAAGAGATTATATTCTTCTCAGCTAATTACATATACACAAGAAAGTAAATGCCAAATTTTGTAGGCTGGAAGCTCTGAAACCTGCAGGGACCTTCTGGGCTCCAAAGTCTGGATGCCATATTTAAGAGGCAAACCAGCAGCATCACTCATTTGTAGAAGTTCATGCACCAACACATCAGTGACCTTTCAGAATCAGCTGGGATAACATACACATCTAATAGCTTTTCACCAAAAGCTAGCATGTGACAAGAACACAAATTATGGCCTTTTGAGTTCAGGCTCACTGCCCGTCCCAGTCAGGTTTGCTGACATCATTTAGTGTTGCTGTTTCACTCCAGCAGACTTATTGACCCAATCAGGCTTCACCCCTAACACTGTAAGGTTTTGATAGCAACAAGTTACCCTGCAGGTAACTGAGACTTCTAATGAGCTGATTAATATAGAGAGGTTTCACTGCTAACACTACAAATTTGGACAAACCTTGGTTGTGAACAAGCCAAGTAATTGAAGAAGTCTGTACTCAGTGGTGTTTAGAGGAAGAAGTCTACCATAACACCATAAGATAGAGGAGCAGAATTAGGCCATTCAGCCCATCGAGTCTGCTCCACTATTAGATCATGGCTGACATGTTTCTCAATCATGCTCCTGCCTGCACCCCATAACCTTTAATTCCCTTACTAATCAAGAACCAAGAATGTATCTATCGCTATCTTAAGGACACTCAATGACTTGGTCTCCACAGCCCTCTGCAGCAATGATTCCACAGATTCACCACCTCTAGCTGAAGAAATTGCTCCTCACTCAGATCTAAGAGGTCCTCTCTTCACCAAGGCTGTGACCTAGGTCCTAGTCACTCCTACTCATGAAAACATCTTCTCCATGAGCATGATTTTTTTTTCCCCCCCACAGAGGGTGATACGTGCCTAGAACACACTGCCCATGGGAGGTGGTAGAAGCAGATACATCATCAAAATTTAACAGGCATTTAGATAGACACGTGAATAGGCAGGGGAGAGGGGGATATGGATCATGCAGACAGATGCCATTAGTTTAGAATGGCATCAAGGGTGGTGCAGACGTGGTAGGCTGAAGGGCCTGTTCCTGTATTTTCCTGTACTATTCTACATTCTAACACGCCACAATGACAAAAAATGTGGAGAACCACACCAACAAGGTAATATATACTCCTTTTCATTTTTATTATACCTGCACAATGAATGCTGGACCAAAGTCATTCAATTAACAGTGATTGGCAGATGAAAAACAGCTAAATGTAGCTCACTGTAGGTCAGACAGTAACAGACAAATCTCATACCTCATCGATGTCAGGGAAATGCTCCAAAAACTGCGATACATAAGTGGTGATGGACTGTTCTTCTGGACGTTCAACATCGACATCTGCAGAGAAAGGAAAATTGTCACTACGTTGTTATTGTTTTGCTCTGATAATGTTCAGGGGGAGGGCAAAAAGGCATAGATTGTGGTGACTATTTCCAAAATTAGGAAGGGAAATGAACTTGAGTAAAAGATTTGGACAGGAAGTCAGTTAAGATGATGGTTATGCATGGCTGTCATGTGAATGGAACTGACAAGAGCCTAATGGATGTCACAGCATTGTGGCCTGTCTATGGCATTTGGCCACACTACAGACTATTCTTTAGGACAGGCATGAAGCAGTGAGGGAGGAGTGGGGGTGGAGAGGTGGCAAGACCAATCTAGTGGTGCTTATTTATACTTTTGTAGAGCCTGGAGAATCAGACTCCTTCAAGTTCCATAAAAATAATTCTGGAAATATTTTGTGACGATCTTCCTTTTGAAAGTCCTCTAAAGCTTCCTAACGATTGTGATTCTTCTCAGAATCACTGATGAAATAAGACAAGATGTATTGTTATAATTTTGTACCTGAATTTTGAGTATGGGGTTGCACACCAGCCAAGAACCTAGATCTGATAGCAAACCTCTTTGAGGCAGACAGGCTCCTCACACATTAAAAAATCCTGCTTTATTATAGTAAATAGTGAACATTTTGCAACAACAGGGCAGCTAAAATGCCCACCTATGAGTTTCAACTGCTGGCCACCTGTTTTTCTGTAAATGGACAGCCTGTGAATTGCAATTCTCCCCTGTTACATCCAAGATAATTGAGGCTATTGGTTTACATTAATTTACAATGTTTCCCCACTTTAACTCATATTCTTAAATGAGTATATGCAAATCACTTTTATTGTACCATGGTTAAAATTTAACAGTAAAAAAAAAAAAAATCTAAACAGTGCACAATACAATGTCTGACCACATCATTAGCAAGCATCGGAGCAAAGTACAATTGGAAACGTCACTTGGTTCAACAAGAGAATGGAATAAAAGGACCCTCAAATGGAACAATGTAGAGTGAGCATTATCTGGCAATTGACCTGGTCTTCAAGTGTTTTTTGGACTAAGTACAGAGAAAGCATAATTCATTGTGGAAAGAATTCTGCCATACCTTCAGGTTCTAGTAGTGGTGGGATGTTGAGATTGACGTGCGCTATTTTGAATGCATCTTCAAGATTGACCCTGTTTGGTCTCTCCAAAGCTTTTCTCATGTCCACTAAGTTCGGGTCGATTGCTTTGATGAGAGCTAGGAATGCAATGCCACTCCTCCAACTGGTACTAAAGTCCTGAATGGCTACGCCATACCTGTATAATGATAAAGTTCACGGTATTGACAGTTTTATAATCATACATGCAGCACAATGCCATCCCTGCAAATCAATCCTTACCACATCTCAACAACAGGGAAGTGTAGTAAGGTATTTGATTCTTGGGTGTGTTAGGGTGACACGGTGGCACAGTGGTTAGCACTGCTGCCTCACAGCGCCAGGGACCTGGGTTCGATTCCAGCCTCGGGCGACTGTCTGTGTGGAGTTTGCACATTCTCCCCGTGTCTGCGTGGGTTTCCTCCGGGTGCTCCGGTTTCCTCCCACAGTCCAAAGATGTGCAGGTTAGGTGGATTGGCCATGCTAAATTGCCCGTAGTGTTCACGGGGGTAGAGGGTGTATGTTAGGTGGGTCATAGGGGAATGGATCTGGGTGGGATGCTCTGAGGTTCGGTGTGGACTTGTTGGGCCGAAGGGCCTGTTTCCACACTGTAGGGATTCTAATTCAAATTCAACCGTGGTGTTTTGAATCAGAAAATGTGCAGGTGTCATAGGTTTTGCTCAATTGACAGACACACTGGTACATAAGAATTGAATTGCAGAATTGTTACTGTGTGGATGGAGTCTATTTGTACCATTACGTCCTCATTGCTCTCTAAATCAGCATTGTCTTTGTACCAATCCCTGCCTTTACCCATTATTCATTGTTTCTATTCAATTAATCATGTAATGCCCTCATAAATGCCTCAATTGAACTAGCCTCCATTAAACTTCTAGGTGTGAAACATTTCTTTGTGAAAATGTTCTCTCTCGTTGTGTCTCCCTGCCTCGCACCTCACCCCCCCCCGCCTTACCTCCCAAGTTTATGCTATTCTATCACATGTAGTATGATCTTAGAATGATTGCGTGATTCATGATAAATAATCTCTAAACTGATCACAAACTTTTTCGAATGCCTTGAAATCTCTCCTCAGGACAAATGTTTAACATTTGTTTAAAAGCTTTTAGCAATTACATCTAATGATGACATTTCACCAGACATTTGGGACCCATCTCACAATGACAGCATTGTCAACAGTGGCACTCCTTCTCCCACACTGAAGGGTTCAAGCTGCTTGAAAAAAGTGCGTATTGCTCACAAGGGGGGAGAAAAATCTCCATAGCCTGGAAAGCTTTTGGGTTCAGTTCACAGAAATCCTACTTGAAGTTAGATGCAAAAAATAATTCATCCTTGAGAAGAGAAAGGAGTTGATGCAGAAAAGTTAAGAAATAAGTTACCTCCATGAAAAGGTTTTAATTGAATATTCCAGATCAGAACTGTGTGGTTAGAACCATGATACATGTAATTTAAAGCTGAAAAAGTCTAAGCCCTGCTGTATGACTAATCAAGAAAAAGGCTATCAAACTCTCAAGACTGGGAATTCAAAGTAACAATTATATTAAATCTCTGCAACAGGATCTTCAACTTCCTGTCCCGCAGACTGCAATCAGTAAGGATAGATGACAACACCTCCTCCACAATAATCCTCAACATCAGTGCTCCAGAAGGCTGTGTACTCAGCCCCTTATTATATTCCTTATATACTCATGACTGTGCGGGTAAATTCAGCTCTAACTCCATTTAGAAATACATTGATGACACCACCGTAGTGGGTCGGATCTCAAACAATGACCGAGACAGAGTATAGGAGTGAGATAAACAGCTTAGTGACACAGTATAAAGACAACAATCTCTCCCTCACTAAAACGGAATAGATGCAAACGTCACTAAGACAACAGAGCTAGTCATCGACTTCAAGAAATGGAATGGAATGGAGAACACGCCCCATCTGTATCAATGGTGCTCAGGTGGAGGTGGTCGAGAGCTTCAAGTTCCTAGGAGTAAATATCACCAATCTATCCTGGTCCATCCATGTCGACGCTAGAGTCAAGAAAGCATACCAGCACCTCTACTTCCTCAAAGCTTTGGAAATTTGGCATGTCCATAAAGACTCAATTTTTCTAGATGTAGCATGGAAAGCATCCAATCCAGATACATCACAGCTTGGTATGACAACTGCTCTGCCCAAGACTGCGAGAAATTACAGGTAGTTGCACACGCAGCCCAGTCCATCATGAAAACCAGCTGTCCTTCCATTGACTCCATCTACACTTCCTGCTGCCTTGGGAAAGCAGTCAACATAGTCAAAGAACCCCTCCCATCCCAGTAATACCCTCTTCTGCCCTCTTCAATCGGCAGTAGATACAAAAGTTTGAAAACGCGTATCAATAAATTTAAGAACAGCTCCTTTCCTGCTGTTATCAGACTAATGAATGGACCGCTCATATTAGAGTTGATCTTTCTCTGTACCTTCTCTGTAGCTGTACCACTGTATTCTGCATTCTGTTCTATTACCCTGATGTTCTAATACAAGGTATGATTTGACTGGTTAGCAAGCAAAACAATACTCATCACTATATCTCGGTACACATGTCAATAATAAATCAAATCAATTACCTATAGACAAGGTGAAGAAGAACTTACCTGTGTTGGGATAGAGGGAGCTGTACTTTCATAGCATGTTTTGAAATCTTCCACATTGTATTATATGTGAGTAGCTTCATTTATTCTAGTTTAACTTCATTTCTACTGCATAATGAAATTCTGCTTTATTGTGAAACTTCAAATCTGCAGCATTGCGTTTCAGTGAAAAATCACTTTGTTAAATAGAAACAAAATCAATGATCTATTAAGCCAGATTTTATTCAGTAATCTGATTTGTCCAGTACAGGACATGCTATAATGCATGCTTCGTTATTGCGAACTGGCTGTAATGTGATTGATGAACAGTGGACGCTGTTTGTATAACGTGAACTTTCTGCTGTACAAGTAAAGCGATTTTTTACAGAGATTTCCCTATAATGCGATTTTAAAAGGCAATTTTCTATAATGCGAGGTCACATAATGCAACTATCTCAAGGAGAACTACCTGTAATGCCATCAGCTGGATCACACAAGTCTTAAGAATCTGTACAAGATGATGAGAGGCATAGATAGAGTGGATAGCCAGAGACTTTTTCCCAGGGCAGAAAGGACTATTACGAGGGGGCATAATTTTAAAGGTGATTGGAGGAAGGTACAAGGGAGATGTCAGAGGTAAGTTCTTTCCATGGAGAGTGGTGGGTGCGTGGAATGCGCTGCCAGCTGTGGTGGTGATGGAGTCAGACACATTAGGGACATTTAAGCGACTCTTGGATAGGTACATGGATGATAGTAAAATGAAGGGTATGCAGGTTAGTTTTGATCTTGGAATAGGATAATAGGTCGGCACAACATTCTGGGCCGAAGGCGTGTGCTGTACTGTTCTATGTTCCATGTTCCATGTTCTAATGTGAATAGATCTACAATTACAATAACATAACGGTATAACATGTTGATGGTAAAATATTTTGTTCTCAGAAGGTCATGAAAGGATAGGTGCCAAGTACAGAATGAAAATCATTCTTTTCTTTCTACAGTGATTTTAAAGTAACAAAAATCTCCTTTGGCACTTAAAAGGTGGAATAACTATTTCAATGGCACCTTTCACAACATACAAGAACATTGACCCTACAACCTAACCCTCCATTGAGATCATGGCTGAACTGTAATATAACTCCATACAGATCTGGTTATCACTTCATTTCTTTAGTATTAATCTGAGATTTAATATTAAAAATTGGCTTTAGTTCTAGCATCAATTACAATTTGTAAAAGAGAATTCCAAACTTCTGCCACTTTTTGCATGTATAGGACATTGGTGAGGCCTCTTCTAGAATACTGCGTCCAGTTCTGGTCGCCCAGTTACAGGAAGGATATTATTAAGCTGGAGATGGTTCAGAAGAGATTTACCAGGATGTTACCAGGTATGGAAGGTTTGAGTTGTAAAGAAAGGCTGGACAGGCTGGGACTTTTTTTCACTGGAGTGTAGGAAGTTGAGAGGTAACCTTTTGGAAGTTTATAAAAATAATGAGAGGTATAGACAGAGTTAATGGTAGTTGTCTTTTCCCTTGGATGGAGTATTTCAAGACTAGAGGGCACATTTTTAAGGTGAGAGGGGAGAGACTTTAAAAAGACATGAGGGGCAAATTTTTTTTACACAGAGGATGGTTCACGTGTGGAATGAACTTCCTGAGGATGTGATGGATGTGGGTACTATTACAACATTTAAAAGACATTTGGAGAAGTACATGAATAGGAAAGATTTGGAGGGATATGGGCCAGGAGCAGGCAGGTAGGACTCGTTCAGTTTGGGATTATGTTCAGCCTGGACTGGTTGAACCAAAAGGTCTGTTTCCGTGCTGTATGACTATGAAAAAGTGTTCCCTAATTTAGCTTTTAAATGTCTGGTTTCTAGTTTTAGACTGTGCCATGGCCTGGCTCTAGTCCTCCCAACCAATGGAAATAGTTTCTGTCTATGTAATCTGCTCCCTTAGTATCTCAAAATTTCAAAAATAATCACCCCATAGCCTTCTAAATTTCAGGAATGTAACCCTAGGTGTTATCTTCCCACAGAATTTAGTCCATACTGTCATGTCATCATTCTAGTATATCTAAATGTAAAAATCAACATCCCTTTAGTTCCAAGGTGCTTCACAGCCAAATAGGTTTTTTAGAAGTGTTGTACTGTAGTAATTTGCTGTTTTGGAGAGCTATGTGCAATGAGATAATATTACATATTCTCTACTTAGGTGTTTGTTGAGGGACGGATGTTGATGAGTGTAATGGTATCGTTATCACCTCCATGGGTAGAAGGAGCCTTGATTTGCCATCTCATTCAAAAGAAAGCACGGAGTAAGCCCTCCCTTAAAAACTGTATGTTTTTATTATTCATTCATGGGATGTGGGTGTTACTGGCTATGTCTGCATTAATTGAACATCCCTAATTACTCAAGAGGTGATGGTGGTCAGCTGCTCCCTAGAAATGGCTATAATCCTACGAGTGTAGTTACACCCTATGTGGAAGTGAGTTCCAACATTATGACCCAAGTGAAGAAATGTTGATTATAGTCTCTGGTATGGGCTTGTATTTATGACCTTGTGATATACAGCAACAATCAGGCCATTCTCAAGTAGCCCAAATCCTTCAGTGCAGGAGAGGGAACACTAACATTATTTGCTGAGCGCAGTACTAACTGAGCCATGGCTTACCTGATAATAATGTAGTGGATTCCAAGGAGGAAAGTGGCCAATTGCATGGCCAGCAGTAGATTATGGGGAGGCTTTTATAGGTGCGGGAAAGAGAAGAAAAGGAGTAGGAGAGTTCCAGACTGCAAGGGCAACATGAATGAAGGTTCTGCTGTAAACAGAGCAAAGGGCATGAAGTTGAAACCTACTTTGTGATTCTCCTCTGCACCCAGCTGAGGAGAACTTTAATGACCCTCCTCTGATCCTTGTATGGAGCTGAAGGGGCTGTTTCCTTAGGAGTGCAGTGTAATGTCAGGTCATTATCACTTCCACTGTGCAAGGAAGACAAACTTGATGTGGGAGAGAAGATCTTCAGGTGTCCTGTCGCTTCCTTTATCTGTGGTTAAAGGAACAAAAATATTTGTCAAAATACTGCAAAACATAATACAACGGGGCGCTATTTTAATGCTGAATACCTGGTTAAAAACTAGTCAGGTGGACAGATAAAAATCACCCATGATCTACAGCTTAAATCCACAGTTCTGATTTTAATCTGCTCTTATATATAGGCAAGGCGGATATCTGCTTGAATACTTTTTAAATACCCATGTTAGGCAAGAAGAATTTCAATGGAATATCAGATTCAATTGTTTGTTTATTCACTGTTGGATGATGGCTGTCAGCAGGTTTGGATTAGGGAGGAGCAAGATCAGATAGGATTTCCACTCCTGATGGCAAGTGTTTCTTGAAAAGACACAGGGCGAAGGATTGGCCCCAGCCTTTCAACTATCACAGAGTCACTGACTGACTGAAGAGGCTCACATCCGAATTATGAGGTAACGTATTGGAATACAAATTGGCATCTGTGAAGATATATCCCAACACATGATGCTTCCAGAATAGCACGGAAACTGGCGAGATAAACATGTATTCAATCCAGTGTGGTGGCAGCAGTTGGTGATAAGGGGAGGGGGACAGTCTTCACTTCCAAATAGCCTAGAGTCAGACTTTGTAGTACCAGAAAGCTGATGATCCATCTACACTCACAATTTTAAATGTTTAGATATTACCATATTAGATTAGATATCACCATAGCAGTACTGGGTAACATATGGAAGTCAGGGAAAAGAAAAAGAGAGAGACAGAGACAGAAAGAGAGATTTTACAAATTCTTTCTACTTTTATATTCTATATAAATGACTTGGATGAAGGGATGGAAGATATGGGCAGCAAGTTTGTTGTTGATACAAAAATTGGTAGGAAAGTAAATTGTTTAAAGACCATGTCTTTGTATTTTTGTACTTTTTAAAACCATGGGCTGAAATGAGAAGAACTATTGTGAAAACCAAAAATGTACAAGGATGCCTGCATGTTTTGCAAATAAAGGAATTTCTCTGTTTCTGTACCTGTGGAGCAGATGAACTGGAGCCAAGAAGTTGTTTACAAATGAAACTGATTGGTTTGTGGACTAGGGGCAAATTATCATTGACAAAAAGCTTTGGCTTGTCAAAAACAAGATGATTGGTTGTCAGAGATAACAAGGTGCAGAGCTGGATGAACACAGCAGGCCAAGCAGCATCAGAGGAGCAGGAAGGCTGATGTTTCGCGCCTAGACCCTTCTTCAGAAAA